AGATACTTTCCCAATACTGTTAGACATATATTATGTTATCTTACCTTACCACAGTGTATTTCTGTGTTGCGAGTTGGTCCCCATTACCACCCTCTCCCCATAAAAGAACTAAAATTGTCATGCTGTTGGTGACTACAGTTCTACAGTTTGGAAAATCCCTCAGTAAGAAAAATTATATAATGTTTTAAACATTGATCCAAACACCGAATGTTACAATGTTACACATTAGCCCAAAAGAAAAAAAAAAATCTCTACTCTGACTGGAAAATCCTCATACCTATCAGCTGGGAGTAGAACTTCGATATTTGTAATACTGAAAGTAGATATATAGCTGGGCTGGAAAGAGCCGCAATAAAAATTGGTCCGAGGAACGTTCTTGGGACAACTCCAGGAAATTCATGATGGTCATACTGCAAAAAGGAAAATTTAAGTAAGATAGGCAAACCAGAAACAAAGGAAAATTGAGATAAATCACATTCCTATTGCTCTTTCTTGTACATGAATGATACATGCAAACCTCAACAGAGTCCTACATGAAACACTGTATTTGCAACTTACCTTATCCAAGTCTAGACGATGGTACACAACATCGTGAATGGCCTGCAGGTTAAAGCTTTCTTCCACTTTTGTAAAGGGGCAGACAATTAAATGTACAAAGGCCACAATAATAATGAGCAGCAGCCATGGGAATGACCGCCTGCTAGAGCTCCTCTTCTGAGGCATCTTGAATTTGAAATTCACATAGATTCTGTCAGTTCTGGAGATTAAAAGACAAAGAAAAGCCATTAGAATCACAGCACGACGCATACAAGCAGAAAAGACATATTAATAAGCCTGATTCATATTCAGAATCAAGACTGTAAACAGTGTAATCAAATGCCTTTAAAAAAGCATAAGCTGAAAGGTGAAAAGGTGAAAAACTGTAACACCCCTGTGACAAGATAGAACCTACAAACCTACTTAAGAAAATATTTCCAGGGCCAGGCCAGTACCACCATCAGTGCTGAGAGCGTCATCTCATTTAGGTCTGCTTCATGAGAGTAATGGCTTTGTAATTGGCTCTCACTTCTGTTCATGTTTTTAATTTACCTTTCCACTCTTGTAACTTTACAGTTTAGTACAAGACAAGATATTTCAAATACTGTTATTCTTGTTCTGTTCACACAGAAACAAATTTGTAAGGATAGCACCTATACAAGATACAACTGGGATTTCGGATAGAAATGTTTTCTCCTATGTTATGGTCTAAGCATGTCCATCAAACAGATTCAAGACAGTTGACGGATTTATCAGGATCACTTGCAAACTGTTTCCTAGAGTTCCTTTTCCCTTAATGGATAGATTTGTCCTGCGCAGTACTAAAAATAAAGCAGATACAGAATTACTTTCTCTTCACTGCTAACAGGAATAAATCCAGAACTCAGGTGTATTCACCATGCATTGAATATGTCCACATAATATGCTATATATTACACTGTTAACATTTCTTTTTTCTCATAACTGTTATTGTTACAGACCATAACTAAAGCTTTAGATCAAGCCAGCAAATTCTGTGGTGGCTCTTTATGATTTTTTGCTTGTTCTGCAGCATTAAGAGTCTATATAAATACAACACCCCATTCAGTGGGAAGAAGTCTTTTTAAACTGTGCCTAGTATTACTTAAGAGAATGTATAAAAATGGGTTATGCTACAATTGGTTTTTCCACAGCAGTAATAAAAGAAGTTTTGGAACGTCACCAGTGCAACTCTTAGAAGTGCTTGGCATGAGTAAGTCTCTTCACAGCGTAATTTATCTTGTAGAACACCCTGCCTCTAGAAAGCTCTCTTACTGATTTCTTTCAATAAATACAAAAGCATCTTACATTTCTGGCCAAATTTGCTTGAGAGAAAAGCAGACACTGAAGAATCCATCTACATCAGGTTACCCAGCATAGCAACACAGTCACATAAACAGCCCAAGCTTCACATGCCAGTCTGTGATATAGAATATTCTTACCTCTTTAATTATTACCACATATACTATTAATCCCTGGTTTTCTAAATTTTCTGAATGACAGCAAACACGGGCATTCCATACATGGTTTATCGCAAAGATTTTTATCTTGTTGACTTAAATCCTACGTCATGCCTAAAGAAAATGAGCTTGCCAGCAGACTCAGATGCTTTGAAGATAATTATATGCATTGTACACACTGAAATTCCCTGAAGGGAAACACTTCAGAAGATTAAAAGACAAAGCACAAAAGACAACTAAGCTTCTGAGATAAAAACTATAAATTTAGATATCTTGTCAAGTTTCAAGATAATTTGCTTAGTCAAAAATAGATGTTGACAAACCTCAAGATTCAAATGGCGTTTGAGACAGTCAGGTAGCCAACAGATCTAAACTTTAAAATAAATTTGCAAGATAAAGGCAAAACATTTAAAATGAAAAGCTTTAATTTTCTTAAAAAAAAAAAACACTCTTAGGAAACAGGGAAATAGACTTTTTACTTCATAAAATTCTTTTAGTAATGAAGGTGAGAGGGCTGTCAGTTCGATCTATCATTAACACTCTGACCACCCTTAGAAGAAACCTCCTCAGGTCCTTACAGCATTGCCACATGTATTTGTTGTCAGATGTTGACATGGAATCCCAGGGTAGGAGAGATTTTCACCACAAACAGCTCACCTCTTACTGAGAGGAAAGTGGTTAAGAATATACTGATTTATCACATTTAAAAAAAAAAAAAAAAAAAGTTAAAACCATTTCATGGAAAGAGGCTGATGCCTCCACTTCAGCTGTGGAAGAATCTCAGGAATGCACATTTTATTCATTCCATGAAAGCCTACCAAATCTTTATAACTTACATTTTTCAGACATGCTCAGTATAAATATGTTAGAGTTTGGCAGCCAAACAACATGTTAAATCAGTCTAGGAAGACTGTATTTTGCCTTCTCACATATGAAAGGTGGCACAGAAGTCTCTCAACACGTCATCAAGAGAATCCCACTGCTTCTTACATTGACCTAGTTTGGGTGAAGCTTCCATTTCCATTTTCTGTTAGTTCTTTTAAAAACTGCTTTAAAGCTAATTTCTGGATGAGAACGAATGTAAGGTCTACAGTTGTTGGGACTACCTTTTCATCTTTGCCAAGAAGGAAAGTGGCACTTGCTACTCTCACACATGTTTCTATCTTCCCATCCTTCTTTTAATCAGTCACCAGACTTAGATTGAAAGTTGTCCCAGGAAAGGATGTCTAGGACAGCACCAGCTTAAGAGGTTGCTGGAAGATACACAGATAATGCCATTCTTGGAACTGGAGAAGAGAAATGCAGAATGCTCTTAAGTCAAGAACTACACGTGCAGAAGCTTAGCCGGACTGCTAGGGCAAGGGCCTCCCCAAGCTCTCCCAGAAGGATGTGTCCGATCTCCCTCTAGCGGCCCTGAGGGATGGGAACCGAGCACAACCCGCCGCCACCTGCGGCGGCCGCTCCTGGTGGACGGCGCGACTTGCAGCCGCGCAGACCTTCCCACCGTCCCCGAGCCCTTCTGCCCGGGCCTTCCTCGGAGCCGCAAGAAGTGCGAGCCACAACGGCCTTTTTTATGCTGAAGCCACCAAATTACTCAAAAAAAAAAAAAAAAAAGAAAAAAGAAAAGAAAGAAACACAAAACCAAGCTTGCTGACAAACAGACTAACTTGCACATCTTTCCTAGGAATTATGAGTTTTTAAATTCAAGTATGACATTTCCCTGGAGGGCTTCTCCCTCACAAAGTGCCCATGATGCTCAGTAGCCATTAAATAGGTAGTTACACCAGGTATCAGCATCTCAGTGAATGTTAATCCAGAGTATGGGGCTGTACCTTCTGCATTGCATACTTCCAGGCCTCAATCTAAACACAGAGTAACAAAATAGCCCAAAGGACTTTTAAATTATTTATTTTTTATTGCTGCTGACTTCTGTGAATGAATTACACGGGTCGATACTTCGATCTTGTAGGCTACGGCGACATTATTTCAAATCTACAGAAGTGAAACTGAGTCAATGAAATAATAACCTCTAACTAATAAAAATTAGTAATTAACCTGAGATTGCAATATCGGGAGGAAAAAAAAATAGCAATAACAATTAACGGCTATACAACATATAACTACTACAAAATATTTCATTTTCTGCGTAACTTTAAGCGTTAAAAATGAGACAGGTCCAAGCGAGCAGGCAGGTCGAGCACAAGACAGTTTTTTTGCACCGCTCCTACTGCGCGTTATGAGCAGCCCCTTGGGCCGGGCCCATCACGAAGGATCTTCCCTGGGAGCGCGAGACTACGCTGAACACACCAAGACTATGCAGCGAACCCGGGGTCTTCAGCAGGTGAACCGAGGTAGCGCAACGCGATGGAGACCGAAAAACACGCAGGGAAACGCGGCCAAGCGCGGCCGCCGCGACCGTTAACGACCGTTACCGCCCGACACTCACCGGCCGCGCGTCCACGTGGCCGTCCCACAGAGGGCCCCACCAGCGTCACGTGACGTGGCACGGAGCGGGGGCCGTGCTCCGCTGCCCTACCCACGTGACAACGCTCTGCCCCACCATGTTAGGTAAGGGCAGCACAGCAGAAAGGCTCCGAGCCGGCTCCTGGCTGCCAAATAAAAATGGTGGCCAGCTCTGAAGCCCGCTACACACCCCCTGCTGCCCACACTTACCATGGCGGCAGACCAGCACTGCTCCTCCTCCACAGCCCCACTCCGCGCACGCGGGAGGCTCTCATTGGCCCATCGCGTGGCGTGCGCTGATTGGGCCACGTCCCTCCGCCGGGGCCGCCCCGCCAATGAGCGACGGGAGCCGGGGCGTGCGTAGGGCTTACGCGGAAATCCGAATGGGGCTCGCGGGCCGGCGGCCGCGCCGTTGCTACGGTGGCCGGGGCGGGGCGCCGCGCGGCCGAGGGTAGCGGGCTCGGCCGCGCGCGGCCCCGCGCTCCGGCTCCCTCCGCGCCGCGCCGCTCCGCTCCGCGCACCATGCGGGCCGCGCCGCTCGCCGCGTCGTTGTGCGCCGCCCTCCTCCTGCTGCTGCTGCTCCTGCCGGCTCCGGGCGCCGCCGAGCGCCGCCGCCTGGCGTGCGCCACCTGCCGCGGCCTCGTGGAGCGCTTCAACCAGGTGCGTCCGGGCGCTGCGGGGCCCCGGCCGGCGCCTCGGCCGAGGGGAGATGCGGGCTCGGCGTGTGCGGCCTCTGCGGCCACGGCGGCACGAACCCTCCGGTATTTATCGTTAGTGCTGTAGGCGTCCTAAACCCGTTCAGTTCCCGAGGGTTTTTTGTTGTTGTTGATTCTTTTTATTTTAATGAGGTATAATTTATATTGGTAGCTCTGTAACTCTGGGCGCTTTAGTGGAATCTCCCTGCTGTGGTTTAGATACGACGACCTGTTACGTGGCTAACAGTGAGTACCAGCCTCAGCAGTGACATGAGAGAGCGGAGTAGGGACCAGTTCAACTGGCTTGCACAGCCCCTGAGAGAAAGGTTTAACCTACAGCTCCTCTATGTGTGTATGGGGGGATTTTTTTGTGTGTGGTTTTTTTTTTGTTGTTTTTTTTTTTTTTTTTTTACATGAAAGGAGCTTATCATTAAGTTTTTTCTTCATTATTCTTCATGAAAATTAAAGTATGTTGTAGTGGTATCTTTATCTTTTCTCACTTCTCATCAGTTGCTCTGTTCAATACAGTAACTGGATTAGCAGCTTCAGAGCCCTTCTGAAGTGAAGGCGCTTTTCTCAGTTTTTATTTAACTACTTCTGCTCTTAGATTTGCTTAGAATTAAACATTGTTCTACTTGTCTTTTGTTGCTTTCACTTGTCAGGGCCTGGCAGATACAGCCAAGAAGAACTTTGGTGGCGGAAACACTGCTTGGGAAGAGAAGACCCTATCAAAGTATGAATCCAGGTAAGCTGCCTAGGTGCTGTTGGAACTGAAAGATTGAAATTCCTTATTAATAATTTGGCTTATTTCTAATAGCAGTGAAAGCTAATTTTGGCTATAGTTGTGTGGTGGTGGTTTATTTGCATGTTGGCTTGCCTTTTTAAAGCTATCTTAAGTCCTCAAATAAAGATATTTACATTATAATTAAGATATTATAAAAGTTGTAGATTTAGCCATGGAGTGTTGCCGTAGCTGTAAATTAGTAACTGCTGGCTAAAGCCTGCACACTCCTTTGATGTCAAACAGATAATTCTAAAAGGTGCATTTTTTTTTTCTGTAGTATTTAGTATATGTGTTTGATTACTAAGTGATCTGGTACAAATTTTTCCCAAGTTTCAGATCAAGTTTTTAATCTTAGTTTGATCACCAAGATACAAGTGTGCAAATCCTAGACTTCGTTTACTGCCAGCTTGATGGTCTTGTATTGCTAATACCTGAAATTTATTGTTGAGTTTTTATTAAAAAAAAAAAAAACAAACAAAAAAACTGCACTTGAAACTTGCTGGGAACATGAAAATCTGATCTCTATTCTGTAAATCTAATAAATATAGGCAAGCTAGAGAGCTTTTTATAGTGCTTCTTCTAATCTTTTTAGTTGAAACTAGTTAACTATTTTTTATTCCTGTATTTGCTTTGTCTTGGAACTATTTCAGAACACACCATCAACTGATAAAGTAGTCTAGACTGACGCTTAGCTTCTTCTATCGTATCTAGAATAATGTCACACACTGTTGTAAAATTGAACTAATGAATTTTTCACACACTCCCTCTCTTAGTGAAATCCGTCTAGTAGAGATCATAGAGAATCTGTGTGACAGCAGCAACTTTGAATGCAACAATATGGTAGAAGAACATGAAGAACAGATAGAGAAGTGGTGGTTCAAACTGTAAGTACACCTCTTAGTTTTCAGTAGAGGTCTGTGTGTGGAGAGATACCTAAGAGGTTTCACAGTTAGTATTAAGTCACATGTCTGATCAGTAAGTGAGCTGCTAATGTAGCACAGGGTTAGAAAACATATTTCAAAGTTCACTTCCTTCTCTTTACAATTGTGGCATACAGGTTGGTGGACAAGCCTGAAGAATCATTATGAGCTTAATTTGTACTTCACACTTCCAGTTAAATTTCTACTCTTGAGTGCAAGTACTGCCCAATAGCCGGAAGTGGGGAAAACATCCGAATATGTTCTAGATGACAAGAAAAGCTTGCTGAAGTGTATTGCTTACTCAAAATGATTAATATTTGTTCTTATATTTTAAGATTATTTGATCATTGAGTGAGTGCATGTGTGTGGTGTTTTTGAATTTGTTTTTATCTCAGGTTTCTGAAGATGAATTTTTCCTGTCTGTGGTAGGAATGGTTTAATTGGTTAAGTCATGCAGTGATGCAGATGTCTTGCCTTGGGGATCCTGCAGTGCTGCTTGGAGATCTGAAGTCTCCTCTATGGCTGCTTTTTCTGCTCTGCCCTACGCAGAGCTGGGTTGGCTAATTCTTTGTTATGCTTCAAGAGTTGCCCCAGGGATCAGGCTAACTTTTCAAGTGCTGTTGCACTCAATTGCACTTGCTTCTAAGCTTGAGCTGAACTCCCTTATTTTTTTTTTCCTGAAGTGCTGCACCAAAGTACCCAGTCTTGCTATCTTCTACCTCATCATATGCTATCTCCTACTGCCTTTCCAGTTAGCAGTATTGTGGCAAGCTAACATTGAAAAACTTAGGATTTTATTACTTGGATTCAAATATTTGCTCTCTTCTCTTGCTTTTAAACTATAGGGGAAAGATTGTTCTCTATTTTTTCTTCATAGTGAAAAGTTTCCACGTTAGAGGTTTGTAGTGCAGCAGCTACTGCTATCTGCCTTCTAAACTGTCCCATGTCTTCCCCTATATATGAGGGATTTTTTTTTAATGCAGGGATGGCGTTGTAGCACTAACTTTATTTTTTTGATTCCAAGTTAGATTTATTGTAAGCTTTCCTTACTTCCTTAGACTGCCAGCACTCTCTCACAGCCAGAATTCATTAGGATAAACTGCCATTATACCACTTAGTCATTGGATAGGGATTTTTACTAATATCTTTTGTCCCTAATGACTGCTACATAGCTCGTGTTGCTACTTGACTGTGCCCGTATTGAATGTACGTTAACATACAAATTAAAGCAAAAATGAACTATAAGGGCCCCAGTAAGGTCTGGTTCATTTACCTAAAACTTTTTTAATTTTGTAGAACTGAAAGAAATTGACTTTAAACTAGATAATTTAACCAAGTAGATCTAAAATTTCTGCACACTCATGGGTAAAATGTATGTTATTATTATCCTTTTTTGAAAGTTTGCCTGTTTGATAGATATTTGAGTGCAAATGATTAAATTAGCCTTCTGTCCTTTTACAGTCGCAGAAGGCCAAACTGCTATCTGATATTAAATTTCTAATCCTTCAGTAGACACTTCATTTTATTAAAGTTACTGGAATTTTACTCAGTGTTTATAGTATGGGACTTAGCCTTTTGAATTATGAGCAGTTGTCTTCATGGTTGCTTGCAAAGTAATACTGATACTGCTGTTAATTTGGAATGTATTCTTGTTACAGAGTAGCACATAACTTTTAACTTTCTAATATTAAAAAAATCTGAAATATTATTTGATAGTGTTGTGGTTTAAAAAAATAGTGTTGTGGTTTAAAAAAAGTAAACTTAAAAGTTGAGCTGAAGAACTTCTAGAAACTGGTTCATGATATAAGATTATTGGTTTTAGAAAAGAAAACATAACATTGGTGTCTGATCTGTTGTAATGTGTGATAAATGTCTTATATGATTCTTAATTCTTATTTGAGACTTATTTTTGCGTTGCACAAGTTCAGTTGTTCCAAACAAGTTATATTCTTTTAGATAAATGAATGTCTTTCATATACAGAAAGAAGAAATACCCTGATTTGTTTAAGTGGTTTTGCATAGAAACGATAGAAGTTTGCTGCCCTCCTGGAACATATGGACCAGATTGCCTTGGTAATATTTAATACAAAATCTGTGCTTTTTACTCGTTTGTCTCAATCTTTCTTCAAATATATAAAGCACAATACTTTGATACACTGACTGCAGCATAGTAAGCACTTTTCTGTTGCCTTGAACATCCTGCCTGAACAAAGTCTTCAAGGCATGAAAGAACATACAAAATCATCAAGTGTATTTCTATATCTGGAGTTTGTGTGATCTAATGATGTCCACATCTACACCTGAACTGTGCTTAAAGGATCTCTGACATCTGGGGATTAAAATCATCAAGTATGTTTCTATGTCTGGGGTCCATGTGATCTGATGATGGCCACATCTACACCTGAACCGTGCTTAAAGGATCTCTGACATCTGGGGATTAAATGACCTCTCAGAAGCTAGAACGTAAACAACAGTTCTTGACTGATTTCAAGAATAAAGTGACAAAAACGCTATTGTGGATTAAATGAACAAATCCAAAGTTAAAGATTAGGTAAACTCACAATGGGAGAAGTAGGTAGGAGTCAGCTGGAGAAAAGTAAAATTGAGTGAGAATGATGAAGGAGGCATTTCAGTCACTAGAGCTTATGTAACTTATACGTTTGTAAAATTTTGCTCCCTCTTATATTTAGCATTGTCCTCTTACATTAACAGTTGTTAAAAGTGAAGTGTTAATTCTCAACACTGATCTCAGTGATCACTGGTAGCCTTTGCAACTGCTGTGTGATCATTCTCAAAAATCCAGAATAAGTAAAGATACCAACTTCAGTTATAAAGCTAGGGAAAATAGATAAAAGTTTCAAATTCTGATTTTTACCCAAGATGAAGTTTACAATTTGACTTTCCTGGAGTTTATTTTGATATTTTTCTTATACTTTAATATGTTAGTGAGAATTCTTTGTTGTGTGGTGTCTTTTTTTTTTTTCTCTCTTGCTTTCAAGTCTGTTCAAGCTTGGAAAGTCTATTTTAGTGTGAGAACTATTTTTCATATTTTACTCTGTGCAAGGTAAGGGACTTGAGGTGATTGTGACTGAGAGTAGCAAGTTAGTTCCCTTAACATCTGATATTTAAAAAAGTGTTTTTGATCCTTTTTAGCTTGTCGTGGTGGGTCGGAAAGACCTTGCCATGGGAATGGCCACTGCGATGGTGATGGTACTAGAAGTGGAGATGGCTCTTGTAGCTGCAAAAAGGAATATACGGGAGAATTTTGTTTGGACTGTTCTGATGGTTACTTCAGTACCTTGAAAAATGAGACACATTCTGTTTGTACAGGTAACAAACTACTTCTGTTAATGCACTTAGACACTTGTCTTCAATCTTCACTTTTTCTGAACAAAAAGTGGAATGCTTATAAATGGGCAAATGGACAAAAATAGTTAAAGGAAAATGGTATTTGATTACTTGACTTGAACTGTAAGAACATAAGCTGTTGATGTGCAATATCAAGGATTTGGCAAGTCACCTTACAGCCCCCTACTGATTTGTATTAACAACCATAACTTTATCATTTTATCTTGGAGGGAATGGAGGTTGGTGTGTGTCGTTGGTGGGTGTGTTTTGTTTTGTTTTTTTGACAAAAAAAAAAAAAAAAAAAAGGAAAATCTTGAGCTGTAGTTGATCAGGAGTTAATGGAGTATTTTTAGAGCCATTTCTTTTTTTTTCTGGTTATATCTAATTGTAATAAATGGACTTGAAAATAGCTGTTCTGTAATGTAGACTATGTAGATTTCATTAAAGTACATGCAAATTTCACCAGATTTTAGGAATTATTTTTACCACTTCTTTTGAGGAATCAGTTTGAGTTGCTGCATTTTTTTTAATGTATTTAATAGGGCTATCAGTAGTGAAATCATCATTAAATCTAATAATGTTTTTCTCTACTTTTTTTATCTAGCTGTGCAATGATTCTTGTATATACACGCACACACAAATTTGCAATGAAAGGCTTGTTGCAATGAAAGGCTTGTCCTACCAGCTGAATTTCTGGTGTATTTCCCTTCATCTTAAGTTTAGTATCACTTCACATTTTGGTCTCATAGCTAGTAACAAATGAAGTAATCTCATTATTCATTAGGTGGTAGTGCATAGTCTACTATTTATAAGGTATTGCCCCATCACTGCAGTTGGGGTAAAGTTTTTCCTGAGATCTCTTCTCTCCAAGTATTTCAAATCTGGCCCCACCACATCTAATCAATAGAATTTTATGACACTAAATGGTGCACGCCTCAGTAATTGCAAGCTTTGATTTCATCACTTCAAACATCTTTCTGAAAAATAGCTTGCTATATGGTTCTTGGTTTGAGTGACTGGTGTTGGTAGGACGGAGCTGCGTTTTTGGAAACTATATTGCCATAAATTTGAGATCTACTCTTGTGAATGAGATTGAGACTAGTGTCATGGTTCCCAGGGAACCGTGAATAACCTTCTTGGAGAATTTATAAATGTAAACCCGTTTTGGAGACTTTCTTCATAGCCTTCTCTTTTCTCAGCCTGCCATGCTGCCTGTAAAACTTGTACTGGGTCAAGTAATAAGGACTGCCAAGATTGTAAAGAAGGCTGGATCAAAAATGAAGAAGCAGCTTGTGTGGGTGAGTAATCCTTGCTAGACTTTAAACAGGATTTGCAACAGCAGTGGCTTATAAGATTATATTGCATCAAATTTCACAGTATTTAGAATGTTCTATCATAAGATTAGATTTCTGCAATTTGTAGTTTTCTTAGCTGCTTCTACACGGCAGGGAAATATGAGTCAATTATAACTTCATCCTATCCCCCTCCCACTGCCCTAATCACCTGGTGATGATAATTGCTTTCAGCAAACTGACCTCTTCTTATGTTTGTAATTCAATAGATTATAGGTAATAGGAAGTGGGGTGTTTCTTGTAAGTTATGGTATTTATTTGAATATTAAGGAGTGGGATTTTTTTGTTGTTGGCTTTTTTAACTGCTTTCAAACTACCAAGTAATTTTTTTTTTTTTTTTAATTTATTTATTTATTTATTTTTAACTACCTACCTAATTGTTTTCATTGCTGAAAATATTCAGGCCTGGTAGGATTCAAGTTCAACCACAGTAGCTTTTGCATGTTACACCAGGAGAGATCAAGTGCTGGAAGAAGCACTTGTCCCATAACTTTATCTGAAACTTAAGGGAAACACTTAAGAGAAAACACCAACACTGAAAATACTCCCAGTGCAGGACTGTACTAAGGGAAGGAGAACACATTCCACTCATAAATTCTTTATCAAGTAGATGAAGTATCCAGTAGCACTGTTTAATTGGTCAAATTAAAACAATAAAAAATACTTTTTCTAGACCCTGCGTTAAAATATCTTAAAAGTTGCATGAATTAGCTTATTTTGTAAAATACTTTTAAGAATTAAGATTTAAATTACAGCTACTTATGATACCTGTTTAGGTAAAACTGTAAAAGACTCTTAGATTTTTAAGATATTCCAGTGTTCTATCATCTTTACAGCTCTTTTGCAAAATAATTACAGCAACTGATCATTGCAAAATAAGTACAGCAACAAGTTAAACTAATGGTACTATTATACCGTTTCCTTGATTTAACAAGACTAGCATATTTTAGCTACCTAGGTAGAACTGCTTTTCAGATTGTCTGATCCTAACCAAAACTTTACTTTCTCCAGTTTGGTCTTTAAATAAGAAACTAAACCATGTGTGTGCATTTGTGGGTGCTCGTTTGTGTTAAATATACTTTAGTAGTTCTATAGTGTAGTACTGTAGGATTTAACAAATAAAAAGCATTCCAGAACAGTAGCTGCCTGTTCATTTAAACAAAAAGCGACCCAAAAAAAAAAATGGAGGCAGATATTCTCGAAGCTTGAACAGTTTTGTTTGGATTTTGCCATTATAAAACAGCTTCCAGGCATCACAATTTTGTTTTTGTAAGTCCAAGCTGGACAAGTGAGTATATAAGCTACTAAGTTAGTTTTCTGTCCAGGATATCACATAACTGATCCTAATATCATTATATTGATTACCTCGGATGTAGTGTGGAGTTTACAGCTTTTGAGAGTTAGCTCTTACAGAATCTTGAAGCATAGCATTGAAATATGAATCCATCTATTAAGCATGTTATTAAGAAGCTGTTTTAGCTAACTTGTCACTAATTCTATTTCAGATATTGATGAGTGTGATGGTTCTCCTTGCAAAGATGATCAGTATTGTTTGAATACAGACGGATCCTTCTCGTGCAAAGGTTTCTTTCTAATCTTATTTTATTTTCTAGAATTGCATTCTAGAAAGAGAACAAATTTGCACTTTACTCACCTAAACACTTTTTTTGGAAAATATTTATACTTGCAAATATCTTAAGTAAAACTGGAGCAAGTTAAACCGCTGTAATGATCCTTTAATCATTTAATTATTTAACCATTATAATGATCTTTTAATTCATTGTATTGTTGTTTTGTTTGACAAAAGAACATCCTGCAGCAGAGTGGGATGTTTCTGTTTCTTTTTCTTGTTGGGAAGTGCAGCCTCTTCAGTATAATCTAGCCTTTCTGTCCTGAAAATGTAGATATTTTTGAAGAGTATAAATGTATCTAGCTTGCTGACAGATAAACTTCTTGCCTAATAAGTTTCAAAGGAGATTTATTTCTGCTTTTCAAAATGAAATAGATTGAGAAAAAAGATTAGCCTCTTTTTATGCCTTTAAAATGTAAGTTGGGATAACTCTACAGAAACACCTTGTACTAGGCATCTAGTGTAATGCTCTCTGGTAGAAATGGGGTAGAGGGAGACTTTAGTACCCTCAGGAAGGTAAAATGTCATTTCTGGTGTGGGTAGGCTGAGTGGCTTAAATATGAATACTTTTCTTAACCTGTGTTTTTGTATTTTTAATGCTTAAATTATTTTATCTTTAGCATGTGATGCTAGCTGTGTAGGTTGCACAGGGGAAGGTTCAGACAAGTGTAAGACCTGTGCATCTGGATTCATAAAGGAAGATGAAAAGTGTGCAGGTTGGTGGATTTAATAGTATGTTATAGAACACCATTTAACTTAAGTCCTTGCACAATCAAGCTGAGGAACTGTTAAATATTTTCACCTTAATGTTTGACTCTATGGAAGTACCACAAAAGTTGGTTTCAAAAAAATGAGTATCAGCAATGAAAGTTTTCTGTTATCCATCTTTATATAAGTTGATACACGTGACTAAGCTTAAAAGTGAAACACGTTTAAAAAAACAAAGTATTTTATAGCTGATTCAAGAAACAAATACATGGATTTCATTGTCAGTTACTTATTTCTTTAGAACTGAGGGTCTGTATCCAGTTCTGAAACAGCAATAAAGTGTATCAGTAGGGATTTTTTTCCATTTCTTATTTCGCTGATGTCCAAAATCAAAAGATATTTCAGTGTTATAGTTCACTATTAATAGTGAAAATGGAGCTGCCCTGCAGGAGAAGAGCAGAAGGTACTGAGGATAAGTACCTTCTCACTGATTAAGTTAGTGCAGTATTTACAGGTTCCCTTCCCTTTAGTTGTACTTTGATGGCATCAAAAGAGTATCACCATGGGAAATCTTTGGTAGTTTGAGAGGAATGAAATTACCTAATCAATTCTCTTACATAAGGCCTACAAAGCATGTAAAATAATATTAACTCAATACATTAAACTTGGTCTGAAACAAGTTAATAACAACAGATTATTTTAACAGAAGTTAGGTCTGTTACAGCAATCTTTTCCTCCTCAATGTTTCTCCTAGGCAATTAGCTGCAGTGTTGTAAATACTTGGAGAGATCCTGTTTGTGTGATTGGATAGAATTGTGTTTATGTGGTGAGCAGAAATAACAAAGCAATAATGGTGGAATCTTTCTTTTCTCTCCTATTTCTAGATATAAATGAATGTACTCTTCCAGAAAAAGTATGCACTAGAGAGAATGAAGATTGTGTTAACACTAAAGGTAGTTACAAGTGTGTGTGTTCAGAAGGGTTTGAAGAGAAAGATGGAATGTGCATTCAAATCATAAAAACAGGCAAGTGACTTTTTTTTTTATCTTCAGATGTTTCAGGTCTTCTGTATCTACAGCCTAGAAGCATATTTCTCTAAAGATTTAGTCATCTCTAATGTGTCATGTCTAATATGTATAAGCAAAACATATAACTTTTCATATAGATAGTTTCTAGTTGTTTATAGTGGAGCACTCTTTGTTAGATAGTTAAAGTGAGCAAGCAGATGGTTGCTGTTGTAAAAGGAAGGTCCTCTTGTTTCTTGTTTTTTTTTTTTTTTTTCTCTACAATTAATTGTACTGCCTTATGGTTTTATCGGATTGTGTGACAAACTGACTTGATTTTGTGAAATTTCAGAAAACTAGAGTTTTCTGCTGGATAGATGAGCTGAATTTGTTTGTGATTGCAAAAGTAGCAGAGTTGGTATGAAGTAGATGGTAAGAGGGAGAAAGAAAACATATGTTCTAGTGGTAGGGAGCCACTTGTGTTGACTATGTCATGGGTTGTTCCTTCAGTCAAAAAGTTCAAATGTAATGTTAAATTTTACAGTTTGAACTCTGCTCTTGAAGGTATGAAACGATATGCACAGAATTATATTCAATACTATTTAGCTTCTGGGAAGAGGTAGGAAGAGTTGAAGTTGGGATGTGTGTGTTGGGTTTTTTTTTTTTTTTTTTTTTTTTTTTTTTTTTTTTTTCATTTCCTTGGGTTTTTTGTGTGTATGCTTTATTTATTTTTATTACAAATCAAAAGATAGCCTTTTTTGCAAAAGCAAACCTGTATGAGGATAAACACAAGGTAGACTTGATATTAAGATGTTTCTTAGTTCTTAGCTTGTTTTTTCTTAAGCTTCAGTCTTTTGCATCTCACAGTACTGTAGATATTTGTGCAGTACTATTTTTGTAAAGTTATTTAGTTCAGAATTTTTCTCTTGATACTCTGTTCTTATTCATTTTAAAATATAACTATATAGATTTTTCCTGTGGAGATACTCAGGAATTTTCAGGGAATTCATTACTGTGTGTTTGGATGTGTGTTCGTTTCTCCCTCCACTATGTAGGTTTCTTTGCCAAAAGAAAGGGTTTTTTTTACCAAAAATAAACAACAAACAAACAAAAACAAAAAAGCTATTTGCAAACTAATTTTACTTTCCCCTCCCCCACTAGATTCATGACATTAGTAGTATAATGCAGCTGTTCTGCTTCTTAAAGGCTGTTTTTTACATTTTCACTGAGCAGCTTGCTCTATAGGATAATTCTGAGTGAAGCTCAGGATAATTCTGAGTGAAGCTCAGGATAATTCTGAGTGAAGCTTACTTCTCATGTTCAAAAACTAGAATTTCTTCTGAACTTTTGATGTGGGAAGTAGGAACTTCATTGTGCATAGGTGGAAAATATGCTAAGAATAGAAATAGCTATGCTGGTTTCAGTTTCCACTACTAATATTACATTAGATTTGTTAAGTGTTTTGTTTGCATCTGATAGAGATTTTAAGCTCATATAGCTCTTCTGTATCTCTTTATCTTTGTCTAATCTTGATGGATATGCTGATCTAGACTTTTAATATTTCCTCAAGTCAAACACTTCCTCATGGTGTAATGAATACATATTCTTATTTGTATTCTAATTATGATATTTAATTTCACAGGAGAGGAAATAGAGACTGGAGCATCTGAGCATCCACCTGGTGGACATGATGACTTATGATCTGCATTCAGAATCAAGACATTCCTATCTACACTTAAATTATTGGACTTATAAGCTTTTCTAGCTGACATACTGTGGAACTGGTATAAATATACAGGTTACCATTAGGATTTTTTAATGATGAGAAACTGCTCTTTAAGCTTCATTTCCTTATTCTTAAATACCACTTTTTATACAGTTGTTTAAAAGCAGAACTCTTGATGGGTAAGTATAAAATTTGAATTAACATAATGTTGTACCCAGGAATTGTGTACAAGTTGCAGATTTCTCATTATAGTGCCTACTGGAAACTGTCATCTTTTTGGAAGGACTTATGTTGTGCTTCATAATTCCAGGAAAAAGAAAAAAGATCTCAAGTTTGGTGTTTCTTAGCATGAGAAGTATTTCTAAATCTGAAGTGAAGTTTTTAGAATTTGTCAAAGGGATTTTCTTTGGGTGGAGGGAAAAATGTTGTTCCCTAAAATGAAATAGAATGCCTGATATTGCATTCAATAAAAGTTTATTTTGTTTGAGTGTGTCTTTTTTTTTTTTTTTTTTTTTTTTTAAGATATTAATACTTTTGTTGTTGTATATATTTTTATTTGGGACAGAGAATGCTCTCTGGGATTTTTTTTGTGGGGGGGGTGGTGGTGGCAGGGGGGGAAGGTGGTTTGTCTGTTACATGTAACAATTTCCTTTCCCCTCCCTGCCTCCTGTCTTCCAGTACAGTCAGTACTGTCATCTTATTTGCTTTGCCTCTGTGCTGTTTAGGAGTCAAAACTAAAGTCTCCCTTGGACAACATTTTCTGCATGTTTCTAACCTTAGAGGCAAGTTTAAGGGCCAAAATTAATTGGTGTATTCTGCAGGACCCTTCCAGCTGTAAGTAAATATAGGCACACATGGATAAATTAGCTAAAGCTCTGAGGGAGGTCATTAAAAATCTGGAATATACAGGAGGGAGTAGAGAATGTGGTTACAGAGAGCATTTCATCTGAGCATTGGGACATAATGTCAGTATGGGATTTACTGTCATGAATACCCAGAATTTCCATCATAAATCCTAATTTCTGTGCAAAGCATAATGTCATACATATTATATAAAAAGGTGTGTTTTTCATGACAAGTAATGATTAGGTCATTGATCCAGGAAGCCAGATATCTGAAAAGTTTCAAGATGCTGTCTTTTTCTGGGAGAAATGTTAAAGCCCATAGAGAAGAGATGAGCTTGAGACATAGGTCACTGAAATATATGGATTATACTGTATGAACACAACTGTTTTTCCTTGTTAAGCAAGTTGATGTATGCCATGTTAATGAATGGGGAAGAGATTCTCTTCAGCCATGTAATTAACATTGCTAGCCTTTGAATTGACATTTATAGGTTGAAGAAGCAACAAGAAAGAAGCTCTTGATTCCTTCAGTCAGTCTGCACTGGTTTATTTTCTGAGATTTTTCTTTCCTGCTCTTTAAAGAACTTCTAGGGTTACTCAGCGCAGCTGCTATGCTTTTTTTTTCCTTCCTTAGATTTCCTTCCTCATCTCTTTCAGCTGTTTCTCACTATAACTATTTTTTTTGTTTTCAGTTCCAGTTCCATCCTCATCTCCTGACAAAGATCAAATGTGTCTTGCCTTTTTCTGACTTCTACCCTTGAATTGGATTTTAATAGAAGTAGTTTTTCTCTTGTATTAGGGTATCAGATTTTCTTTCTTACTTGAAAGTATCTTTGAAACTTTGTCTGTTGTACTGTATCTCTTCTGCAGCCTGTTTGGTTTGTCCTATTTTTTAACTTTTTTTTCCAAGTTTGTAACATTGTTTTACATATTTGAGTTTACTGGGCTGAAAATTCTGTCATAATTTCAAGTCTATGGATTGTTCTTTTGTGACCACACGACCACATATAAAGTCATTTAGATAATAGGCATGTTCTTCCCACCGTCTTTGTGGAATTTCTTTCTTTTGGGGCAGGGGTGGATGGGGAAGTTACTCTCGCCATTAGTCTTACTGAATCTAGACTACTTAAACCAAGGCTTTGGAAAGCGGAAAAATCTTTGGGTTTGTCTCCTGGGAGAGGAAAGACCTAGATTTGAACTTAATTCTGCTGCTTTCTGGGGTTACTCTGATTGGGTTATACAGTGATTAGGTGAGAAAGAGTTCTGGCCACATATCAGAAGGAAAGAGTTAGCTCATCCTTCAATGTGTGTCTATCACCTATAAATGATTAGATGATTTCAGCTCACTGATCCTGATGGTTCATTCTAAGCTATTGCTGGGATCTCATGTCCCTTTTTGGGAACGCTAGAGGGTTGTGGATTGTTTGTGGGTTTTTTGGTGTGTGTTTTTTTTTTTTTTTTTTTTTCCTAACTGATGAACTTTAGCTATTCAGAATTTAGGTGCCAGAGTCTGTGAATAGTGGAGGTTAGAACACATTACCATTACTGTTGGGATTTGTCTCGCACCTGGTAGGTACCTGACTCCAAAAGTGAAATCCAGAAGCCCAGATTGTAGAGAGAGTGAGCAATTACATGGAAGTCCTAATGGTGTCCTCCTGCACCTCTCCAGGCAGAGCACAGTGGAAAATACAGGAGTAGCCTGAGATGAGGTAGAACTCAATTGGTGTGACTCTGTCTTGCTGTCATGGTATTAAGGCCTTTAACTGAAGGTCCTGATTATCTCCCCTCCAGTTACCCACTGATAATGCATTGAGATTGGACTGGCAGGGAGTTGCTACTTTTCATAAATAGGCTGCCTTTTAACCTTGTCTTGTGACCCCAGTAACCCTTACTGCAGGCAAAAGTCATTCTGCCACTCAAACAATATTGAGTCTTGTTGCCAGGAGTAAAAGCTAGTTAAGTTTGAGATCGCAGAATCGTGGAGTGGTTGAGATTGGAAGGCACCTTTTGGAAATCTTCCAGTTCAGCATCCCTGCTAAAGTAGGGTCAACTAGAACAGGTAGCCTAGGGCTGTGTCCAGACGGGTTTTGAGTATTACCAAAAACTCCATAACCAGGGGACTCCATAACCTGTTTAGGTATATAAAGAGATAAATGACCCTTGCTGCCCTCCCCCAAGCTATTGACCTAGGCATCTCATCTGTATAAAGCTACCATGGTGGTTATATATAGTGTTCGCTTTGTAAATCCCTACTGCTGACTCTCAAACACCTCCTTCTCCTGACTAAGTTTGGAAGATAAATTTTCTGTGTTTTCCCAGGGATCAAGGTGAGACTGAGCAATGTATAGTTTCTCAAATATTCCTTGAAAGTAGGTTTTGCTTCCATCTAAGCTTATGGAATATCCCCAGAATGCCTTGGCCTTTCAAGAACAACAAACAACAGCCTTACCCTGACATCAGCTGCCAGGGCTCATTCATCTTCTTACGATTCTCTTTCACAGAGGGTACATTTTCTTTACTCCAAACTTTCCCATTGTTCTTCTAAGGACTATGATTCCTTAATAAAAATATTCCACTAAAGACTGTGCCAAAAAAGGCATTAAGTACCCCAGTATTTTTGATTTCTTTTGTCAGAAAGCCCCCCTTCAGCACCAGACCCGCGCTTCTCCTAGGCTTCCTATTGCTACAGGTAAAAGCTTTTCTTTTTGATCCTTGTGCTCATTGAAAGATATAGCTGTTAATTGGGCTTCTGTTTTCCTGATCCCATCCGTGCATGTTTGGGCACTGTCTCTGTATTCTTTCTGGGTAACTTGTTCCTTCTACTTTTTGTGTGCTGCTTTTTTATTTATTTATTTATTTATTTATTTTTATTTTTTTTTTATTTAGTCAGGAGTTCTGTGCCATCTCCCATGAGGTTGTTCCAAGTAGATTCCTGGATAGGTCAAACTACTCTTCTGTAGTCTGAAGCTGTGATCCTGATATTTGCCTTTTTGCCAAAATGATATTCTGTTATAGTGGTTTATCTGCTGACATAACAATATTGCCTCTCTTGCTCCTCAATAGAGTTGTTTTATTGGATTTAGATCTCTCAATTTACAGCCTCTATTGTTTGTAAGGAGACCAGAACCTTTTTAGGACTGGAGTTCATCTTTGACTGATTTTGTTTAATGATATTCTGTCCTAATCCTCACTGATGCAAGGGATCCACATTTATCTCTGTAGAAATTGCTTGAATAACATCTAGAAAATCTATGACAAACATTTCCCCACTTAAATTGTTCATGCAACAGAAGTAGTTCAAGAATAAGCTTAAATTTAAAAGGGTGGGCTGTTCATAAAACAGAGGCTCAAATAGGATAATCATCTTTAAATTCCTGGAAAAATACTTCCTCACTGTGTATTTATCTTGTTTAAGGAAGAAAGGTGCCTTAATTTAAATCTTTAATTTTTTAAAAAATCTCTAATCTTTTTTTCCAGTATCTTTTTTTGAAGACAGTAAAGAAAGCAGAGCTCTACCTGCCTTTTGGGTGTACCTATAAGAAATAAATATTTCTAGTTCCAGCATTTCATTATGATTTTCTTCTTTTCCTTAGCTTAAAATTTGGTGCTTATTCCTTGTGTCTGATGAAATTAGTAGAGGGAGGAACACATGCTTTAAAACAAAAAAAAAAAATGGATGGCCTACCTACATTTTTGCACACCTAGAAAAGCTACATGAAAAAGATCTTGTGCATAAACAAGTCTCCCAGCAGGAGAAACCTTGTGGATCATGTTGTACTTCCCAAGGTGAGATTCTTCTGTGCAGGCTGTTTGGGAATGTTGTGCTCAATTATAAAACTACTGAGGTAATTTCACTTCTATCACTTCCAATTATTTAATCTAACAAACTGTATTGTCAAGTACTCATCTGATAGTCTTTTTTAATGATTCTCATAATAAATTGAACCATGTTGCAGTGATCGTGGCCTCATTTGTTAGAGGTAATGTGCACATGCCAAAGATTGTTCTAAGAGCTTTTGGCCATGCAAAAGGTGGAAGAGGAAGAGTCTCACAAAAGTGAGAGTCATTTCTGTCTTAATCATATGAAGTGCATAGTTCACTTTTTTCCTTTTTTCAGTTATTTGTTGTTTCGGGATCAGGCAGTGTCATATTTTAAAGTATGTGAGCAAAGAAGGCTGTCATTCAGAAAACTATGACAGCCAAAATTTTTCATATAAATGCAAGTTTTTTTTTAAGGGAAATGGCTGATTATAACTATTGGCATCAATGAAACATACATGTGAGGACTCAAAATGGTTTCAGTGCTAAGGTCCCCTTTCAGCCTGATCTTGAGAAATTCATAAAACTACTCTGTGAGTGCAGTTGCATCCACATAGAGTTTTTAGTGTAGTTTGAGAAAAATATTATTTGTGTGTTTATTTAAAGTATGATACTTTAAAGTA